CCTAGGTCTTTTTTTTATATCCCGACACCCCCTTGATCGGCCCTGTAAAGCCTAAATTCATGACTGGGTGGCCACACACAATGCTCTGAAGGAAGAAAAGGCTATGAAATGGCAACAAGAGACCTTATACATCAAATTTAGTATTCTATGCAAATTCTACATGTCAGATAATAGCCAGATACTTAGTCCCAGTACAATTGACAGAACTCCTTCCAGGTACAAAACATGTGGAAGCAACTGTCAGTGAGTGTGAAACCGAAGGGCGAATTGGGACTTCTCGACGAAGGCGTGAGTGCGAGATAGCGGCAGAGAATATCCGGGGTACGTGAGAGAGAGAAAGTAACGTGGTGCCGCAAGGCGTCACCACGTTGAGATTATCCTGTGACCCAGGAATTGGGGCGTGGTCACCCGGCGCAGGACTCTTGTATCCTGGAGGGGAGGCATAAGGCTGCCTAGCTGTACAGAAAAGGGGTGACTCCATCCACATGTAATATATGATGTGGTTGCAAAGTGAGTTTATTATTATGTACCTGGAGCTACATATACAGAGTAAACATGGGTAAATATGATGGTCCTAGGTTACACAAGAAGGGAAGTAGAGTATACTAGCATGCCGTTACAAAGCCCCCCTGTGAGATAGGAGCATCGTCCGCAGTAGGAAGGTTTCTTGACAAGGTTCCCAATTTCCGTAAATTGGTCTCCTTATGTTCCTACCTGGGTTTTAGTCTCGATCTACCAGTTTGTCCCGTTATTACACTCCGAGCAGTCCGAGAATTCACTCACATCGTAAACCATCCTAGTTCGGTCGTTATACCGTAGTGCAATCCCAAGGAGGGCGGTGACGGCAAATTTAGCAGTGAATGGAGATTAGTGCTTGGAAGTCCAGTCTCAAGACTGAAAAAAGACTGAGACTGGACTGAACCAAGACTGCCCAAGACCGGAAATTCCCAGGACCATCGAAGACCGCAACCGCGGTCCAGTCTTTGGTCTCTCACAATTTCGGAAATTTGAAGACCATGAAGACCGACAAAAAACCGGTCTAACCGGTCTCAACCGGAACTCATAACCAAACACAAAACACAAACACAACTCATAACCAAACACAACTTTCCTCCTCCTACCACCACCCTCCCTGTTACCATCACCACCCTTTGTGACGACCACTTTGCATCGTGAGCACCCCCGATGGGCTAAACGACCCGTATGCTCACACATCGACCACCACCTCACACGCTGGAGGCTCAGCAACGACACCCATGGCCACGGCGCGCCACATCATCCTCCACAACGACGCCCCCCCCCCTGCCAGACATCACCTACGGCCACCACCACCCACACCACCAACCACAATGGCAACAACAAACACCTGCCATGCACGACTGTCGTCAACTCTCACACCCACCTCACACCAACCACAACAACAACAACGAGCGCCTGCTACGTCGACAGCGCATGGAGAAGACTTCCCTCGCCCTCTGCCGCTTTTGGCAATGACAAGCGCACGACAACGGCCACGCAATGACGATGGAGATAGGTGGATGACGATGACGTGACATGGCAGCAATGACGGATGACGGAGGACAATGCAAAGAATAGTGTTCGCAAGTTCAGTTCAGTCCGGTTTTTTGCCCCCAAAACGCGCAACCGTGGACCGCAACCGGTCTAGGACCGACCCAGATATTGAGGGAACCGAACCGAACCACTTAGGACCGGTCTATTTCGGTCTATGGAGCCGGTTCAGACCGATCCAGACCGGTTTTTTTGCGTATAATTTATTATACCAATATAAACCATTTGTATCTTGACTATTATTACTCTGAAAAATAAACGGGTTATATGAAATAGTAAAGCATGTAAATACCCGTCATTCTACTAATTTCGAAGAGATTTAATGAAGATTTGACATAGCTATGACTGAAACCGAATTACATCTCGTAGAGACTCGGGTGAAATATGGATTTGGTTATATCTTTCTCAATTCTTAACCGTTTTTGATGAAACAAAAACCCAATAAAAGGTAATAAATGTGGTTACAAGGGTATGTAACGCACGTGACCGTTTAACCGGTTGCAATTGATTAAAACCGGTCTTTGAACGGTTTTAATATATTTTCGAAATGAGGCAACCGGCAACCGGACCAACCCCAAATTGGGGCAACTGCAACCGAAAAAAAGACTGGACCATAGACCGGTTCAGTTCGGTCCACCGGTTTTTTGCGGTCCTATGGACTGAACCTTTAAACACTAGCAAAGAATGGCGACGGCTGACAACGGACAGCAACAAGGAAGTGCGAGTGCTCCCCCCACCCCCCTCATGTAGTACTACAGTGTATTTAGTCAATTATATACATGTTCTCCCCATGTCATAGCTCCG